TGAAGACTCGAGTTTTTCCCACCAGTGTTGACTCTAAAGTCCATGCTCTTCTTGTTTACTTTTACATAAAGCATTACCACAGAATCTCTTTTATTATGTTTGTTTGTTTGTTGGATTCGGGGTCTCACTATGCAGTTCAGACTCTTAGTGATCCTCTTGTCTCAGCCTCCCCATTGCTGGGATCACAGGTGTGTGCCACCACATCTGGTTTGGGGGCTGCCATGAGGCTGGCTCAGCATGTGGTACCAGGGATGGAACCTGGGTCCTTACACTTCCCAGACAGGTGCTTAGACTGCTGAGCCATCTCCCCAGCCCCAGAATCCCATTTGCCATTTTAAAATGGCAAATCACAGTACGATTCAGTATAGTCAAAAGCCAAGTAATCTCTATAGATCACTTTCATGAAAGGTTTATTTAATTTTTTTCCTCTCTGGGTGAAACTTTATGTTCAGGGTTCTCTCTCTCTTCCTGGTATAAAGTAAAATAAAGAGTTCTTTTGCACAGTAGCACCAGAGCCAGATGTGAGTGTGCGTTCCTATAATCCCGGCATTAAGGAGGATAGGGCAGAAGCATCTCAAGTTCCAGGCCAACCAAAAGCTAACAAGGAGATCCTATTTCCTAAAAAACCTAAGATAAATAAAGAGAACATCAATACTTCATGTTTTTTGGTGGGATTATGAATAGGGGTCTCCACATAGACATCAGTAGTATCCAAAGGAAAGATCAGAAGTTCTTAAATCCCTCGGCTTCTCCCGCCCTCAATTTGCCCATCTGTTGGGGAAGCCTTTGCTGGTGTGCACTGTTGGGTTCTGACGCTAACACTGCTGTCCCTGACCCCATAACCAAGACCCTGGCATCTCTTCTCTAGTCTCGGCGGCCCTGAGCAATACCAAAGACAGTTCTGTCCTCTTGGATTTCTTCGCGGACACTGAGCTCTACAGGAAACCAGCTGACAAAGCCCTCGACAAGCTCAAAGGCGAGGACAGCGCTTTCGCTTCTTTCAGAGTGGACCACGTAGAACGAGTCGCAAGGGCGGTAAGTCTCCATCAGCGTCCTCTAGAGCCCGAATCCTGGACCGCTGCTGGCTAGCACGGGCCAAGCGAGAGACACGCCCTTGCATCTGCCTTAGTCAACCCGCTGCCTAGTCGCGGCAGCCTTTGCAGCTGTTATGAGAGACGGACGACAGGCCCCACAGAACTGATCTTGCAGGCTTTTTTTTTTTTTAGGGGAGAGGAGGAATGGCTAGCTAGCCAAAAAGAGAAAAAAACCAAAAAGACTGAAGATCTTTTGGGCCGGCGAGATAGCTCCGCGGACTAAGCACCTGCTTTGGAAAGCGCAGGGACCAGGGTTCCACCCCCGGTCCCGTATGTCTGCGCTGCTGCACCCCTCTCCCTGCTCCTGCAGGCACTGAGACAGCTACGGAGACCTGGCATAGTGGCGCATGCCTGTAATCCTAGCGCCAGGGAGGCTGAGAACAGGAGGATCGTTATGAGTCCAAGCTGTGTAGTGAGACCCTGTAACAAATACATAAAAAGAAAAAATGAAGAGGGAAAGATAAGAATATATTAGGGCTATAGGAATTATAAATCATGCAAATTTAGCTAGACATGCCTGTGATCCCAGCAGTCCAGTGGCTGATCACCGTGAGTTTAAGATTAGCTTGGGCTACATATTAAGTAAGAATAAGGACAGGAAAAAAAGGAGGCTCAGAGAAGCAACCTTCCCGCACCCAGCGTGGCTCGGGAGTTAGACGACCGTCGACCTTGTCGTCCCAGGCCTCCAGGAGCTCACACCCGGGTGGAGTGACCATGGACCAGATGCCCGATGTTTGCCTGCATTTTGAAAATGCAAAATTAAATCAAGGATGGTAGAGGGGAGCAGGGGAACAGACTCAGTGCAGCTCCCAGAAAGGACGTTTCAGACACATGTGTGCTGGGGAGTGACAAAACAAGCTCCTGAGGGGGAGTCAGGTCACAGGACGATGGTGCACAATACGCCACTTATGGTCAGAGTTAAATATTGCACACAGGCAAGGTAAGTAGGAAGCCGCTAGAGGAAGAGACGTCCCGCACAGGAGGGCTGCCGGCACAACGACCTTTGTGTGCTGTGCTTGATTCTGTCTGTAGAATGAACTTTTTCCGTGAAATGATATTTTTTGCATTACTTACGGGATGCTTTTTCTCTTCTTCCTCTTGTGTGTGCGCACATGCGCGCGCCACTAGTATTGAACCCATAATCGTTACGCTGAGCTACATTAGTAGCCCATTTTACATTATATTTTGAGATTGTGTCTTGCTAATTTATTAAATTGTTCAGTCTGGGTTTCGCCTCACAACCCTCGTGCCCCAGCTTCCCAGTGTGCTGGAGTTATAGACATGTGCCTCCATGCCTGGGTCGGGTGCTGCGTGTTTCTGCCGGCTCATTTGCAATACACGACCGCGTTCATCGCGGGGAGTTACGCACGATTAGGACAGGGTGGGGTTTCCGTTCTCCCCGCCCCATCCCTCCTAGTCCCCCCCCCCACCTCTTGGTCCCCTTCCCAGTTGCAAAAGACCTGTTTCCTTCTTGCCACTGTCTTTTATTTCACTCTTTAAATGTGATACATTCTTAAAAGTCAGAAGCCATGGGGCAGTAGGACTGCTGCGAGTCCAAGGCCGATCTGGGCGACATCGTGAGTTTGAGGCCAACACGAGCTGCGCAGGGAAACCCTGTGTTAAAAGCGAAAGGCACAAACCGTAAGCAAGATGGCAGATACTGGTGACTGTAATCTTCACAGTGCTTTATATTATATGGGACCGTAGGTGTCTGCTACTTTCCCCCCTCCTTTTTCTATTTCTAAAAATACATGGATCTTTTCTGTTTCAGAGAGGAGGGGAAGAAACCAGTTACCACGTGGATTTCTCCGTGAGGAACTGTTCCGCGTACCATTTCCCCAGAGGCCCTCACGTGAGTACAAGTGTCTGTGAAATTCTGAGCATCATCTGAAGCACCCTTCCTACCAACCGGCGCGCAACTAAGTGCTTCACGTACTTTCGCTTGGTGACAGTCCCACCACCAGACATATGCTTTCTAATCCTTGACTTTCAGGTAGAGAAACTGAAGTGCAGAACTGTTAAATATGATTGTAGAATGCATATGATATATATTTGAATTTAAAACTGAAATTTTTAACCCATTAGGTATTTGGTTCAGGGTCTCACTATGCAGCTTGGACTCGTAATGATCCTCCTGTTTTCAGCCTCCACTGCACTGGGATTACAGATGTGTGCCACCACACCTCCATTCAGTGTACCCAGGAGCAGGGCTGGTATGACATTTTAGTCATTAGGATAAAAGCTTTAGCTAAAACTAATAATGGCTTTAATCAAGGCCTTATACATACTAGGCGCTTTCATGCATCCCACTAAACATGGAGAAGGTAGTTGAAGTCCAACAAGGGAAAGTCTCACAGTTGTTCAAAATTGAGCTAAGATTAAAATCCTTCTCACGGCAGGGTGTGGTGGTGCTTGTCTGTAATCTCAGCATTCCAGAGGCTGAGGTAAGAGGATTATTGCAAGTTCAAGACCATTCTGGGCTACAAAGGAGCTCAAGACCAGTCTGAACTGCATAGTGAGAGTTTGACTCAAAAAGACAAAAAAAAAAAAAAAAATCCTGCTCATGCCTTCTCCTAACCATCTACACCCTGACCGGCATGCCTACTGGAGGATCTTATTAGTGTTGTTTGGCATGTGCATGGAGACATACAGCTTTCAGAATACCTCCATCAGTATCACGGACTGGCAGGATTCTCCTGACAACACTGCTGAGCAGAGGTGTCTGCCTCCATCTCCCCAGAAAAGGGAGCCCTAAAATTTTAGCCACAAACCTAAAGGCAGTTTGCTAGCTTAGGACATGGGTCAAATTCTGATTCCAAGCTGGAATTTTTCTAAGGCTTCTTCTTGGCCAAAAGAAAGGAGGCACTCAACATCTTATCTGACTGTCCATGTTTTTAAGCTGAACAAGTTCTAGATTCCTGTTTAGCAGCTGCTGCAAAAGACCTCCCTTTCCCCCTCCTCATCCCCAGCAAAGTCTTAAGTGCCCTGTTTGGGTAGCACAAAGTCAATCAGGAGCTGGGAGGGCTGGAGGGAGAGAAGGCTGCGAAGGACTGAAGGATTTCAATCTTAGCTCAATGTTTTGTTTGTTTGTTTTTTTTTTTTTTTTTTTTTTTTTGGTGGAACCGGGGATTGAACTCCGGTCCTTGTGCTTGCCAGGGAAGCACTTATTCCACTGAACCATCTCCCCGGCCCCTCAATCTTAGCTCAATGTTGAACATCCGTAAGACCTTCCCTTGCTGAACCTCCTCTGTGTTGAGTGGGAGAAACGAGATCGCTAAGTGATCTACAGACTTATTCCCTTACCTAAGTCCTCTCACAGTCTACAGGGAGAAGGTTTTAGGCTCAGTTTGCAAGGAGCAAGTTTTGGAACGTGTAAGTTATCTAAACTCACAACATAGTAAATGGTGGAGCTGTGATCACTGTAGGTGTGTATGATCACAGAGTTGTATTCAAGAGCCTAAAGGCTTAACAGTCTTCTGGCAGTTGAAAGTTATACAAATCCATCTTCTGCACCATTCACCACTCAATGTAGGCAGAGGAAACTCGTGTGTTCAGTGAAGACGCGTTGGCCTGAAGGCAAAGCAGGAGTGATGCCTGCCCCACCCCATGTGGGGAAGCCCAGTGTTGGTGACTGCTCATGGGTCAGAGCCATAGAAACTTGCAAAGAACTCTCTGGAACTGTACTTCCCCAGGTCTTGCCCAGGAAACATTGGTACCTCCCTGATGGGGATGTCTGATGATATCTGACAATATTTTTCCATAGCTCGCCTTTCTAAAGCTTCCTTCCCTGAAGGCCTGGATGTTTACAACTCTGGCTGAGAAACTTTATGAGTGTGCATGCACACAAATGTACACACACGCACAGCCTACATGCAACTCATCTACATGCTTCTTTCTTCCTTGTAGCTCTTTGGATTCTGTAGAGCAGATTTGTACTATGACATAGAAGCTGCTGACTTGGAAAGCCCGAAAAACCTTAAAGTAAACTGTGAAGTCTTTAACTTTGAGGTGAGTTGCTGAGTGAGGAATGTTTTCATACATAGTGTATTCTTAAGGCTGTGTGTGTGTGTGTGTGTGTGTGTGTGTGTGTGTGTGTTTAAGGGATGGAGAAAAGATACAGACAGAGCAGATGTCTGGGAAAAGGAGTGAAATTTCTGGTATGCTGCAAAAAGTATAAAATATTTCCAAGAACTGGGGAGAGGTAACATTTAGAAGAAACGTAAAATCGCAAAATGTTCAATCACCCTTGAATGAATTTGAAGATGCTTATTATACTTAAGGCTCCGATGCTGATGTTCAGTAATTCTGAACTTGTCATTAAACATAGAGTCAAAGGGGAATAAATGAGTCTTAAATGTATCATGTACAGTAGGTATAGCTAGAGATTTCATGAACAAAACCCAGACTGCACCGGAGACACTTCATAGAATCAACTGGGATCTCATTTTTTAACAATGTATTTGATACAGGGTCTTACTACACAGCT